AGACTGATAATTAATTAGATATTCCTCAGATGATCCTGCAGGCAGACGAAAGTTCTTATCTGCCCCGGGGAAGGGAGAGGGGGAAGGGGAGGGAACAGAAAAGTGGAGGGCGTAAGAAACCTAATTCCGCTATTCCTTGGTGAATTTTTAGTCTTTTCCATCGGAATTCTTGATGAATTTTACAGATATTTCGTGTTCGATGAATGGGGAAGGAAGAATCTGCAACAACAATAGTTATACGGTAGACTTAACAAATACCTGAGTTCAGCTACGACCAATTGTCCTGTCTCATCGATGCAGTTCTGAAACATCTTACAATATTTGAATCTTGAGACGTATTCGGAATGTCTCGAAGACTTTCGCTTCTGGCTGTAAACATAACTAATTACTTTGACTTTAGAACTAAGATACATGGCATTACCACTGCAATTTATACGAACGGTGCAATCTACACTTAACCTTGCAATTAGAACTATTTTATCTCTAAGTGATAAGGCTATCTGTGCAATACTATCAGTGCTCACTACAAGGCAATTATCAACAAGAACGAGACGATACAAAGACGTGCGCGCGCGTGTGGAACAAGCAACGTTAAAAGAAGACGACAGGGAAGGATGCTGCAATGAGGAAGTTAGACAGCATTTGCGTAGATTTGTGACGGGCATCAGCCCATGGGGATTAGCAGTGCCATGTAGAGGGTACGTGCTGCGGGGGAAGTGCATTGGGTGAGCCGAGTACCAAGTGTTCAGTTTATTACTGTGCCGGGTCCTGTTCAGCTATCATGGAAGGGTCTGCTTCTATTGTCGCCCGCGGGGACTAGAACAAAGGTGGTGAGGGCGGCTCTCCTACATAGCATACCGGCGCTCGGAGCAGGTCACAAGCAAGACAACAGGGATAGGAACGAGTCAGGGACAGGTCAGGGCCTCTGAGTTGGGGCACAGAAGGTGAATATACAGTGTAAAAGTCTACGGTTGCATATATAATATCAACAAAGATTTTCAATGACAGAGAAAGAAATACTTGGATGTATAACTTTTACAGGACATTTTGAAGATTTAGTTAAATTATAGTAAACACGCATGAGCTAAATGTCAAGAAGACAAAACTGAAAAAAAAAGTTTAAATATTAACAGAAGCACATTACAAAAGTTCAAATGGCCCCAAATACTTCCTGCACGAAAATAAATGTCGAAAATAAATGCAGAGCAAATAATTCAAACACAAAAGTCTTTACAAGTAGCGAGAGGCGTAAACGATTTTTGGCTGCAACTGAATGCCAAGCCAACCGGCGATGCGCGGAACAACCTGGTACAGCGAGAAGGGAAGAGCGTGATAGGCGATCCACTTACATACAGATAGACATACACACACACACACATACAGTGCATGCATACATACATACATAAACACACATACACATATTATATGTGTGTGTGTGCGTGTGTGTGTGTGTGTGTGTGTGTGTGTGTGTGTGTGTGTGTGTGTGTGTGTGTGTGTGTGTGTGTGTGTGTGTGTGTGTGTGTGTGTGTCTTCGTGAGTTTGTGTGTGTTGCTTGTATAATATAACTGAAATGTATAGACCAATGTAATGTGTGTGTGTGTGTGTTTGTGTGTGTCCGTATCCATATGCATATATATATATATATATATATATATATATATATATATATATATATATATATATATATATATATATATATATATATATGTATATACACACACACAAATATATGTATATATATATATATATATATATATATATATATATATATATATATATATATATATATATAAATATATATATATATGTATATATATATATATATGTATATATATATATATATATATATATATATATATATATATATATATATATATATATATGTATATATATATATATATGTATATATATATATATATATATATATATATATATATATATATATATATATATATATATATATATATATATATATATGTATGTATGTACATATATATATATATATATATATATATATATATATATATATATATATATATATATACATATATATATATATATATATATATATATATATATATATATATATATATATATATATATATACATATGTGTGTATATGCATGTGTATGTATGCGTGTGTGTGTGTGTATGTATGTGTGTTTGTGTGTTTGTGTGTTTGTGTGTGTGTGTGTGTGTGTGTGTGTGTGTGTGTGTGTGTGTGTGTGTGTGTGTGTACATATGTATATATATATATATATATATATATATATATATATATATATATATATATATATATATATATATATATGTATATACATATGTACATATATATATATATATATATATATATATATATATATATATATATATATATATATATATATATACCACATTATTACCTCGTGATTGATAGGTAATGCTATGGTGATGACAAGATACCATTACATCAGATATCTGCGTCATCTTGAAGCGTACGATCGTAGCAGTGGCCAGTTAG